ACCCCAGTTCTGTATGAACAAATAAATAAATCCTTTTAAAAAATTACTGGATGAATAAGAATGGTAATAATAAGGCCCTCCCTGGTGGCATAGCGGGTTAAAGCATAGCACAGCAAGTGAGAGATGCAGCCGCTTCAGTGCAAGTTGGATCTCAGCCCTGGAGGTGACCCACATGGGGCAGCAGACCTCTCCTGGCCCGCCCACTGCTCCCCTCAGCAGTGTACCTTGTCAGTCTGCCTGTTCTGCTCCCCACTCTGGCTCTGGTGAGTCCTCTCATCGCCCCTGAGCCTCTGGCCTGTACCCCACTTATGTATCAATCAATAAATAAATCTTTAAAAAAAGAATGGCAATAATAACAATAAACCAAAGTCACAATAATGATACAGTAAATCAATCCTTTGATATTGGACTCAATTCTTCATATTCATTCTTTTCTTTCCTGGCACTAGAACAGTTCTGGTACCTAGCCGGTGCTCAATAAGTAGTTGCTACATGAATAACGAAAATATTGGCTTAGGCAGATGGTGGTGGGTAAAATGGCAAGCAAGAAGGATTATAGTTCAGGAGAGTGGAAACAAGTGGAGGATTTCAATAACTGCAAATACCGCTATTTTTGAGGTTGGTTGAACTTGTAAAAGTGGGGAGAAGAAATAGCTGAATTCTTACATAGACCTTATCCTCTGTATTTTCATCTTGGGAAGAGTCCTTCTTTAGTTATCTGAATTATTTGGATGCAGTATTTGTGTATATCAACAGGTGATATACACATCCTTTGTGTGAAGAATCCAAAAATTCTTGCTCCTAGAACCTTTTTTTCTCTTCATCTGAGAGTGAATTCAGACCCCTGCTGTGTTCTCCCTAATACTGAAATCTCCAGGTTAGCACTGTTGTTAGGATCAACACCGTTTGTTTTATCCAGGAAGCAACCCCAACACAAGGATCTTTAATTTTATTCTGGGGCTGCACGATCTAAGGTTTGAAGTTTTTTCTTTTCAAGTCTCGCTCTTCGCTGTTCACCAGAACAGTATGGCACGAAACAAGGTCGGGGCTGCCCTTCTAGTTTCTCATTCTTTTCGCTCGTAGGTTTTCTGGCCAGAAACCACCGCCCAGAGGACGCGAGAAGGCGCGTAAAGGGTGCAGCGGTGAAATAAAATGCTGGATTTCCCCCGCGCAGTCGCTTCACCTAACCCTCTGCCCCTGGAGGACTGAGCGCCTGAAAAGAAGGGTTCCGCCGAAAAGATTACAGATTAGCTCTACTGCTCAGCCCAGGCAACCGATCTGGGTGTGTCGCCATAGCGATGAGCCTGCCGTGTGCTCTGCTGCCATTGGCTGCAGTCACCGCGCCCGGGATATAAAACAGCCGAGCAAACTGTGCCAACTGTGACCCGGCGGCAGGAGTTCAGCTCAGCGGAGCAGATCGGAGCGGAGAAGGGCAGAATCATCGAGAGGGCGTTGGCAGGACCATGGAGAAAGACGAGTGAGGCGGCCACGAGGCCGAGGGCCCTTGGGGAGGGGGAAAAGGCTCTGGCGGAGAACTAGGGAGTCCTGCATTGTGGGCCCCGAGGGCCCTGGGAGAGAGAGCGAGTGCTTTGGAGATGCAGAGGGCTGGCGCCGAGTCTGAAGTCAGACCAGGTGGCAGAGCATTGGGGCAGCCAGCGGAGGGCGGGTGCGCGCGGGAACAGCATGGGTGGCGCCGACCAGAGTAGAAGGGGACAGGCTGAAAAACAGTGTAGTCCACTCATAAAAAGAAAGGAGCGGTGTGTGCGCGTCTACGTATGTACAGGCGTACGTATGCACAGGCGTGTATGCACGCATACAATTGTGGCGCGAAAAAGGCACCCGCACCCCTTATGCTCAGCCTGAATTCCTAGAATTCCATTCTAGGGTCTCGTTAAAACCGAGGTAATTTGAGTCCCGGTACCTATACAGTTCCTCCGAAATACCTCCCTCCCCACCAAACTGGAAATCCTATTAAATTGCAAATAAGATTTCCCTGGGGAAAGGAAATCTTTTTCTTGAATTGAGCGAATGAGCCTGCCCATTTCTCCCACTGTGTATTTTTGAAAACTCTGCTTTTGTTCTGAAATCCAGTCTAAATCTTCAGCATTGGGGAACACAGTGGCTTTTGGATACCAAGGGATCCAGAATACTCTTGGAACCTGGCGCCAGTGAGGAAATGCTACAAGCTGTGCCTAGAAAGGGCAATGCCAGGATTTCCTTTGCTCTCTTGGGGAAGTTATTTGATCACCTTCCTGCCATGTCACTGCTTTGTCTCCTCAATCATCCTGTGGCCACAGTTCTACGGCCCCAGCTCTGACTCTTCCCCAACTACTCTGAGGACTTAAATATATTGTAGAGTCCTGGGGTTGTAAAAGGCTGTTTTTGAAGCAAAGAATTTTTCTCTGAAGTCTTGGTTAGTTGTCTTTGGCTCACACCAGTTTCCCTTTCTTTTTATCCTCTTCATCTTTTGGCCTTTTCAGGTGGGTATAAGAGAGTTGAGATGGAATTTTGAGAAAAATCTTGGTGGTGGTGGCGAGGGGGGGCGGGGAGGACAGGTTCTCTGCAATTATATATTCTTGGATCTCTGAAGAGCAAAGAACCTTGGAGAAGAAAAGGGAAGGTAACCAGGAAGGGGAAGAGGGTCAGGGAAGAGGATACAGGGAAGGGCAAAGTTTTATTGTGTGGACTTGATCCAAGATCTTTAGACATAGGATTCTGGTGCTTGTTAGCAAGTTTCTAATTCATTTTCAAATGGATCACATGAGTTAAGTGGGGCTGATTATGCTCTCTTGCTTTATATGAGGAAAAACTAGAAACATAGGCTACTTCCCATAAAAAACAAAATTTGGAGTAGTATCCAGGTTGAGTTCTGATTTCTTCAAAACCAGCAATTCCTAAATCTGTTTTATTTCTTGAAATACTCTAATTTGTTAATCCTTTCATGAAACACCTGCATAATCACCACAGATAAGTCGTTGCAGAATCTTGAATCCTTCCTTCTGCCAGCATCAATGTTGGCCTTTGTAGTTCCCCTATCTTCCATCTGTTCTTGATTTTTTTACTTCTCATACAGATCATGTCCTGCAAATTTATGTTAGAGTTCATTCTTTGCACAATCCAAGGAAATCATTATACCAAAGCCAGTTGTCTTACAGCCAATCCCAGTGAGCTGTGATTCTGCAGCTGTGATGACAACTGGGGTGCTCTTGTGTGTTTTAGTTTGTTTTCCCCTATTTTCTGTCTTAGATACTGTTGCTTTCCCAGGGTGAAAGATATCAATGACCATTTATTTCCAGGGAAATAATGTTGGTCATGAGCTTCCTGATCCAGATAGCTACTGTGTGGCAGTGCATCGTCAGGTAGCCAGGGAGGACAAAAGAACCTAAACTTGGTTTTTGAATCAGAATTAAATTAAGCATTTTGTAAAAATAAAAATTCTAGAGACTTTCCCTATAATTAATCTGTTGGAGTATATCTGTCATCTATTTTTTAAAAAGATTTATTTATTTATGCATACAGAACTGGGGTACAGGCCAGAGGTGCAGGGGTGGCGAGAGGCTTCACCAGAGACAGAGTGGGGAGCAGAACAGGCAGATGGACGAAGTACACTGCTGAGGGGAGCAGCGGGCCAGTCAGGAGAGGTCTGCCACGCCATGTGGTCACCTCCGGGGCAGGCAGGGATCGAACTCATGCGGAAGTGGCTTTAACTTCTTAGTGTTGTGCTTTAACCCGCTGCACCACCAGGGAGGGCCATCTATCCTCTATTTTTAGCACATTGCTGTTTGAGAAACTACCAGTTCCAGTTCTGTTCCAAATGTTGACGACCAGTGTTGGGGACTGGGTCTAAGGTTTTATGCAGTAGCTTATCTGTGCTCTGGCCTTGGTTATCCCTGTCATATTATATATGGCAGGGGTCTATGTGGGCCTGGGGATCCCACAAATAACAAATGCAGGGTCTTGGTCAATCGAAAAAAAAAATTAACCCATAAAATTATCTGAGAGGAGCTGAAAGGTAAGGAGGGTACGCAGTACAGAAGACAAGGTTATCCTTATCTCCATGTAATTAGTCTTAATTACATTTTTATTGTCCTTAGGGGTAGTTAAGGAAATAAGCAAGATTTTATTGGGTTAGTCACTGCCCTGAAGGAGAACCCTCATTTCATTTTGAATGTGGGCTCCTTTTACCCTCCTTCATTTGATGATTTCACTGCACTTCTATAAATTCTGTCAAGAAATTAACAAGAAATTGAATTTAAAACTGTGAAGATAAAAACAGGAGTTTATTTGCCTTCTTAGGAATTGCAAGTTTGGGGAACACAGAGTCAGTATGAAACTGAAATGTGTTACCCCAAAAATGCTGGGTTTATAGAATTTCCAGATTTAATAGGTAGTCTCATGCAATGGTCGGCTATGACTGATGGTGGGTCAAATACCATCTTTCTCAACCATCATCAACATTTCCACATGTGTCCTGGGTTCCAGGCTGCTTGTTTGTGGATTTTATTTCTATAAGACTGTATCTGGGTAGAGACATGTATAAGCTGAGCTTTCTGATTTCTGGGCCCAAATCAGACTCCCCTAACATGTGCTGCTCCATTTTTGTTTCCTTACTTCCTCAGCTTTATGTGGTTCCTTGTTAAGGGGAGAGATGGAACTTGTCAGTTGTGGCAAAACTGGAGTTGCTGGTGATGGCAACAGGTGTCATTCACCTTGGTCAGGTTCTGGAATAAGAAGGCTATTTCACATCAGACATTTAGTGGACCCGAATCAGAAACAATTTGTCTGAGAGAGAGGAGGCTCTCCCCCCAAACAGGGCAGCTCATTAGCCAGCTTCTCTATCCCCTAATACATTGGTAGAACTGCCAGTCTGTACACTGAAGGTCTTTAATCTGTGATGCCCTTGGGATGGGATTGAAACTCATTTTGATATTCCTTTTTTTCCCTAGGTACACATATGAAGATTACCAGGAAACTTTTAATTGGCTTAAACGCAAAACCACTCTGCAGCCTAAAGTGGCAGTGATCTGTGGTTCTGGATTAGGAGGTCTCGCTGATAAATTGACTCAGCCTGAAGTCTTTTACTACAAGGACATACCAAACTTTCCCCGGAGTACAGGTACAGCAAGGAGGAAGGGGAATGCGAATGGGGCAGAGGGGTATTGATGATATTCTAACGAGAGGGTAGTCGTTCTACTGGATCTGATTATACAGATCCAGTATATAACATATACATAAAACATTTCACTGAAGACAAATTCAGTAAGAGAAAAAAAAAAAAAGACCACCAAGAATCATCAGAATGACTTTAAAGAAAATTCTGTTAGTAGAATGTTCATAGGAGACAGGGTGTGTGTGTGTAAGTGGTGCTGAATGATGACAAATATCCTCTGCTTTACTGACACATTTCCTCAGAGCTCTTCATTTTGTTGCCCACATCCTTTGCCCATTTACACAGTGGTTACCACATACTCACACACCCATCTCATTTCTTTCAGTCTGCAGCTTATATGGGGAAAAAGCAGGGCCTGTAACTTTCCAGGATAAAATCAGGACTCTCTTGCCCCTTGCCCACCTGCCATTCCCAGTCTTCCCAGCTGTAGCTCTAGTCCTGGGCTAAGGCACAGCAACAAATGAACACACTGATTGCCAGGTTCTTGCAGACAAACGCATAGGTGATAACACACAAATAACCAAGACCTGAGTCACAGTGACCCTTTGGAGAGGGACAATGTGGCTCCTGTCCACCCCCCCCCCCCACAGTGGAGCCTTAAGGGATCTGAGGACATCATATCCAGCATCCTAACAGTAGCAGGAAAGCTCTGAAATGCAAACAAAGCTTTGGGGAAAAGTCAGGTGAAATAGGAGCAAGTACATGACAGGGTAGTGTATTTGGTTTACTTATTAGTTTCTTAGATAATTAAACTTCCCTTGGCTTACTGATTAATCATTTTCATTTCTGCTTTGCCTGCTTTTGTTTCCTGGAGAGGTGACTTAACAGGCATTTTTTAAGCCCTTTGGAGCAACATTTGGAGTAAGGAAGTAAGAATGGAAGTTAGAGAAGAATATATTTAAGAAAGAAAGTAGGCAAAGTTTTCTAATGGAGATAGTGACAATGGCCACACCTGCCACTTCTAACCCAGTACCAGGGCACTGCACTAAGTGATAAGGGATTAATTAAAAAAAAAAAATTATCGACCTCTTTCTTTCCCCAATTTTTTCAATATTTTATTTTTCGCTGTGTTTTTTCAACTAGGTAATTATCCGTCTGTTTTTTATACTCCACTTGGGTTTTCCTATGTCACTTTTGTTCTATTGTGAAAGATTTTTTGTTTAAGATTTATTTATGCATACAAAACTGGGGTACAGGCCAGAGGTGCAGGGGGGGTGAGAGGATTCACCAGAGTCAGAGTGGAGAGCAAGACAGGCCAACTGATGAAGTACACTGCTGAGGGGAGCAGTGGGCGAGGTCAGGAGAGGTCTGCTGCACCATGTGGGTCACCTCTGGGGCAGGCGGGAATTGAACTCACACAGAAGTGGCTTAAGCTTCTCAGTGCTGTGCTTTAATCCACTGTGCCACCAAGAAGATTTTTAAGAAAAACTCCCTTACCTCTGAGTATCCCTTAGCTCTTCTTGGTTTTGGTTCTTCAACCAGACTGTCCACTCCCTAAGGGAAAGGTTGGCTATTAGAGAGAAATGACAGACAAGGCAAATGGTAATAATGGTTATTATGTCTCTGTGGGACGTTATCTTTGCACTCCCACGCCTCTGGATGCCCACCGTAGGCGTGTTCCCATAGGATTGACTTTGTAGGTTTTAAGGGAGTATCCTTGTGAATCCAAATTCAGCCCCTTCTCCCCATGTTCAGTAGACTATTCAGAAAACCAAACTATGCCATGAGTTCCCTTTCAGGAGTAAGGAGGCATATAGTTTAGTTAGAATAATAACTAAAAACAGGACCTCCCTGGTGGCACAGCGGGTTAAAGCACAGCACTGAGAAGCTTAAGCCACTTCTGCATGAGTTCGATTCCCGCCTGCCCCGGAGGTGACCACATGGCATGGCAGACCTCTCCTGACCCGCCCGCTGCTCCCCTCAGCTGTGTACTTTGTCCATCTGCTCCCCACTCTGTCTCTGGTGAATCCTCTCACCCTCCGCATCTCTGGCCTGTACCCCAATTCTATATGATTAAATAAATCTTTAAAAAAAAAAAAGAATAATAACTAAAAATAACCATCTTCATAATTTTGAAAAATTTGGGAAAAAGGCCTATAATTACTACATTCATTATTATTCATTTATTCCATTTCTACTCATTTTTGTTCTCTTGCAATGCAGTTTTCTCCTTTTTATTTTTTTATTTTTTTTAAAGATTTATTTATTTATTCATATAGAACTGGGGTACAGGCCAGAGATGCGGAAGGTGAGAGGCTTCACCAGAGACAGAGTGGGGAGCAGAACAGGCAGATCGATGAAGTACACTGCTGAGGGGAGCAGTGGGCGGGTCAGGAGAGGTCTGCCACGCCATGTGGTCACCTCCGGGGCAGGCGGGGATCGAACTCATGCGGAAGTGGCTTTAACTTCTTAGTGTTGTGCTTTAACCCGCTGAGCCACCAGGGAGGGCCTTTCTCCTCTTTTTAAATTATTTTTTTAAAGATTTATTTATACATACAAGAACTGGGGTGTAGACCAGAGGTTCAAGGGTGAGAGGATTCACCAGAGACAGAGTGGGGAGCACAGAACAGGTGGATCTACTGAGACACACTGCTGTGAGAGAGACAGGAGAGGTCTGCCAACGCCATGCGGGTCACCTCCCTCGCTGGGAATCGAACTCAGGTTGCCATGGTGATAGTGCTGAGATGTAGAATAGGCCACCATGGAGGCCTATTTTTCTATACATGTTTTGAAGTTTTATGTAAAAGTCTGCTTCTCCTTCCACTGATATATCTGTTCACACTGAGTGTTCTTAGGCCACCTCCCCTCCAGCTCTAATCTCAGGATGTCCTCCTATCTTTCCTTGTGAGCTTATGATTAATGTCTATCTCTCTTACCAGACTTAAAGCTTCTGAAAGTGGAAATAATAATGTCTCAGTGGTTATGTGTTATATGAAAGCATCATCCCTTACATTTTCCTCTCTTTTTGTACACAGTGGAAGGTCACGCTGGTTGCTTGGTGTTTGGGTACCTGAACGGCCAAAGCTGCGTGATGATGCAGGGCAGGTTTCACATGTATGAAGGCTATTCACTCAAGAAGGTAAAGCAGGGGTGTGAGCCTGGTTGGATCTGGAATAAGGGGCGAGCACTAACTAGTTTAATGACCTGACTACCTAGGCTAGAGAGATTTTTTGGGGGGGGTTCTCTTCCTTTGTATTCTTTCATGATACATGTCATTCCTATCTGCTTGGGAAGATTGGCAAAATTTTAAAGAACACTCTTTCTGACCTTTTACTTGGAAGGTGACATTCCCAGTGAGGGTTTTCAAACTTCTGGGCGTGCACACCCTTATAGTCACCAATGCAGCTGGAGGGCTGAACCCCAACTTTGAGGTTGGAGACATCATGCTGATCCGTGATCACATCAACCTTCCAGGTTTCTCTGGTCAGAACCCTCTCAGAGGGCCCAACGAAGAGAGGTACAAATCTTGCTCCTCTGTTTTGAGGTGGGGGGGGGAGCAGGGTTTAAGAACACACTTGGGAGTTAGGAAAGAACATGTGGTACTCATTAATCTGGGCTAATCCAACCTGTGCCCCAGGTTTGGAACTCGTTTCCCTGCCATGTCTGATGCCTATGACCGGAATCTGAGGTGTCTGGCTCGCGAGACCTGGAGACAGATGGACTTCAAGAAGCGAGAGCTCCAGGAGGGGACCTATGTGATGCTGGCGGGCCCCAATTTCGAGACTGTGGCGGAGTGCCGACTGTTGCAGCGTCTGGGGGCAGATGCTGTTGGTGAGAAGGGGAACTTGACTAGAGGTTTAAAGAGGGAAAGATTTGGTGAAAACAAGGATGGGAAGGAGTAAGTTGTAGACCTAGAGAGTGGGTTGAGCGAATCTGACTGAAGGAAGGTTTCACTAACCTGGCTTCTAAAAAGCTGTTAAACTGGTGAAGTTTGGTGAGTTTGCTCAAACACTCCCATCACCGTTACTTTAAACACCGTCAACAAATACGGAAATAGGGTGCTGCATGGTACTATTTATAAGAAATGTAGGCTCGGGTTCTCCCTGGTGACGCAGTGGGTTAAAGCACTGCATTATGAAGCTCTCTGAAGCCACTGCAGCATGAGTTTGATTCCACCCTGGAGGTGACCACATGGCGCGGCAGACCTCTCCTGACCCGCCTACTGCTCCCCTCAGCAGTGTACCTAGTCAGTCTGCCTGTTCTGCTCCCCACTCTGTCTCTGGTGAATCTTCTCCCCCACCGCACCTCTGGCCTGTACCCCAATTCTGTATATATAAATAAATAAATAAATCTTAAAAAAAAAAAAAGAAGAAGAAGAAGAAGAAATGTAGGCTCTTGGAGCCAAGCACACCGATCTAAGCTCAATACTAATTGTTTCTAGACTGGTTTTGGAGTTATTAAATTGTCTGTGGAGTGATGAATGGAGAGGTGAGGCCAAAGGGAAAGAAAAAGCGTGAGCTGAGGGTCCTGACAGCTGGTTTTCCTCTTTCCTCCAGGGATGAGCACAGTACCAGAAGTTATCGTGGCAAGGCACTGTGGCCTGCGAGTGTTTGGATTCTCCCTCATCACCAATAAGGTTATCATGGATTATGACAGCCTGGAGACGGCCAATCACCAGGAAGTGCTTGAGACCGGGATAAATGCTGCACACAAACTGGAAAAATTCATCTTCAGACTTATGGAACATGTTTCAAAGCCTGAAGGCATCCCCCACTAACCAGCCTGTCCTCACCTTATGTGACCCAAGTATCTACTACCTACTTCAGTCCCATTCTGGGGTCACATGCCTCTGTCCTGAGATAGCAGCAGAAAAGAGGAAAATCCCTATCTTTACTTTCCCTATTTCTCTCACCAGACTCTCCTGGTGCTTTGTTCTCTTGAGAAGTTTTCTCAAAGACAGTTTCCACCTCTGACTTTCCCCCAAAGCTAGAGTCCAGGCCCCACCACGCTTCTGTGGATGTGCCTGAAATTTGATTTGGGCCATGGAAGTTGGCAGAATAGTTGGTGAGCTGCCTATAGCTTTTTGAGATGATACTCCACATTCCTGGGGGCTCAATTCTGCCTCCCCCCAAGCCCTGGAGACCACAAGAACCAATCCAATCTTAGCTTTGATACCACTGTATTTTGAGAATAAAGAGAAAAATGAAATAATTTCTTCATGTTTGTGCAATTTGAAATAAGGCTGGACCCAGGCCATGAAAGACCTATGAAGCCACATGTCTATGTGTCTGTTGCTCAGATTGGTAGCTCAGAACTGAGGTAGGATGTAAAAGAAGGGGGAGAAAAGGCAAAATGATGAAAGATGGAGAAAGATCTTAGAAGATGAAGATGGGGCTAATCTCTGGCACATGGTTGCCACCTCTTTTCGACAGACTTGTTTCCACCCTTCTAATTAATTGCTTCACTCCCTGTTCATTGTCTTGTGAATAGGTAAATTAGTTCACTGGTTTCAGCTTTTGTTCCTCTGTTGTCATTTCCTTATGAAGCCCCAATTATATCTCCTCTTGATTTCCTTCGCTGTCCTACTCTAACGTTTGCTGTAATTAACCAGCAACGAAACTCTCCTCTCCATCCTGATAAGGCTGGGACAAATACTATTCCTTTGGGCCAGCCTCTCCCCAGCTGGTCAGAGTCCTGCCAGCCCCCAATAGACCTTGATCGGCTCATCCTCAGTTTCTTCTCTGAGTATCACCTTTTCCCTTCTGGGGTTGCTTCTCTTGTTGCTTGGCCAGAACCCCCTGTGAAGCAGCACCGAGGCACTCCCCTTTGTTGGCTCATTCACCTTGTCTTTGCTACCAGACTTGCATGCAGTCAGCTGGCATGCTTGGAAGCCACATCACCCTCCCAGACCTATTTGTATTTTGAGAAAGAACAGTGCCACGTGAGCTAAGAGTGGTGACCTTTCAGTTATCAGTATAATAAGGTAGAGGCATTTTGAGCTGACAGATTTTGAAAGCTATCAAATCACCATTCAGTAACTGACCTGATGAGCTGAGCCCAGCACAAAGAGAAACATCCTGCAGGGGTTTTGTCATCCCTTTTCTTTCATCGTTCTCTGAACCCCAGCCCAGCTCTAAAACCTGGACAAGTTACTAGCAACTCATTTGTCTCAGAGCTGGTTTAGAGGGAAGCACTGTGTATCCTTTGGGTATAGATACATACACAGCTACAATGTTTTCTTCTAGTGATGTGGCTTGTTAGGTGTCTTTTCAATCAAATCTCTGTATAACACTCTTAGCTAAGAAAATGTTAAATTCAGACTATAAAACTGGTTTTTCCTCTCCAGTGCTCTACAAGCATAAGCCACAAATTTGGAAAGCTACTAACTGTTAATATGAGTTAGTGTAAAGGAGGTATAAGTCCCATGTTATGGGAGACCACAGTAAGGACCAACTCACACTGGTGGTGGGAATGTAAGCTGATCCAACCATTATGGAACGCAATATAGATTTCACTTAGAAAGACTAAAAATGGAAATACTTGAAACCCATTGATTTCATTCTGCAGCATATATCCAAAGAATATGAAGTCATCATATTCACAACACAACACAAAAACCATATACGCAGCAATGAAGGCTGGGTTGTATACAGGAAGTTTCATATAAGCCTTTCACCCTAGTCTTAAGTGATGGGGAGGAGAAAGAGGATTTCACACAAGGGTGAGTCAAAGCAGTAAGTGTGTACCTGGGTCATAGTCATAAACATGACCAGAACTGAGGACATCGAGCAAGATGTGGGCTGATTGATAGATACTTGAGGGTTAGAGGATTGATAGATACTTGAGGATTGGTGTTGTTTTTTTTGTTTTTTTTTTAGATTTATTTATGTATACAAGAACAGGGGTACAGGCCAGAGATGCAGGGGGGGTGGTGATGGTAAGGATTCATCAGAGACAGAATGGGGAGCAGAACAAGCAGATTGAAACACAATACAGAGGGGAGCTTTGGGCAGGACAGGAGAAGACTGCTGTGCCATGTGGGTCACCTCCCTGGCCGGGGATCTAACTCATGTTGCAGTGGCTACGGATAGTTTCTTACAGCTGTACTTTAACCCATTGTGCCACCAAGGAGGGTCCTGGTGTTTGACTCTCTTAACCTTGACCTGCTTCTTGGTGAGATGGGTCAGGAACTAGAATGGTGCCTGAAAATGCCCCACAGAAACTTGAATGAAAACTAAAAGGGCATTTCTAAGTTTTCAGGCTTAAATGGATTTACCCTGTAGAAGGTATTATGTATTTCATGATAGAATACTAGACTCGAGGAAACATACATTTGATGCCTTACTTCAAGTCTAATTCATCCCTTCTGATTGAAATAAAAAGTAGGAGCTGCCTTTCACGAGTATATATTATATTCACATTAGGGCATTGCATATACTCCCTTGGTGATTTATGTCCTTGTTTGTACAAACTAAGAGACAACAAAGTAACTGTGGGCTAAAAGGATGAAATCTTGACATTTGCAACATGTGTCAAAGGAGGGAATTAAATGAGGGAATTGTGCTAAATGAGATCAGTCAGAAGGAGAAAGACAAATACTGATAATTTCTCTCTTACATGGAATACAAAGAAAACACCACAAAGGAACTGACAAAACTCAACCAAAATAAACCTAAAAAGTTTCTGCAGAACTGAGGTTATTAACCGGGAGGGAAACAGCAGCACAAAGGTCCAGGTGAAGGATTACAGGTGCTTGGATGGTGGGACAGTATGTTGACACCTGGGGAGGTGTGAACCATTTCCCTAAATCATATTCATTGTTGTAACCAACCTTCAATAAGGGAAGAAAATTATAATATTGTTAACAAATAAAAGTAGCAATGGACAAGTAACATTTATAGGTAGTAAGAATTTTAAGTTTGATAGAATTCTAGGCTAGAGCGAGTATGGATTGGGGAGTGAAATATGACCAATTTTCCTTAAAGCAGCTTTATTGAGCTCTAAACACATAGAATAAAAATCCTCCCATTCAAAGTCCATGGTATTGAGTATCTTCACAGGTAAGAGCAATTGTGACCAGAGTGTGTTTTAGGATATTTTCATCACCTTGGAAGGAAACCTTGTAGCTTGTAGCTCTGTTCTCCCTCCACACCTCCCGAGCCCCAAGTAACCACTAGTCTATGATCTAGTAGATTGAACTATTATGGAGTTTCATATGAACAGTATTGTGTGAAGCCATGGGGCTTTTTGTGACTGACTTCTTTTACTTAAGATATTGTTTTCAAGATTCATCCAAGATTCATTTTAAGTTTCACGCTATTTTATTCACGTAGCCTCTGACGTCGTCTTTTGAGTTCGGGGTCCTTGGTTCACTCTGGGAAATGTTTCACCAGAGCTCCCCTTTCAGCGGCATGCGGCGAGATTCTCCAAGAGGCAGAGACTCAGTTATATTTAAAGAGTAGAAAGAGACAGGAGAGAAAGACACTTGCATAGACACAAGCGGGCAGAAAGAGCTACCCCAAAAGGGACAGGTTTGCAGGGAAAGAGATTTGCATGGTTGCAGGCAGCCAGCCTTAGACAAGCTGCCTCCCCTGAGGCAGGTCAGTGCAGAGAAAGGTCCCGGCAAGGTACAGGTCATGGGCAGGCAGGAGGCTGCTGCCCTGCAGAGGGAAAGAGCAGGTGGAAAGAAACACCTGCGTAGGCACAGGTGGGCAGAGGAGTGGCTGCCCCATGCTGGTGGAGAGACTGCCCTGATATAGACAGCCTCACTCCTTGTGAGCCTAGGTTTGTTGTCTCTGAGTAGAATCTAAAGGGATTCCTGGTGACCTTCATCTCCATGTCCTTAACTTTCACATTTTGGATTTGAACTTCAGACACAGCCCCCAACAGTCTGTTATCTGCTGGGAACTCCTGCTGATATTCAGGCATCCCGGGCATGGGTTGACCGTCATTTTATGGCTGTGTCAGTTGCTGCACTTTGTGTGACTCACTCTTGTGATGCCTCCCCTGCATTCCTTCCTCCATCAGCCTCTACCAGTATTTTATTCTTTTTATGGTCAAATAGTCTATCGAAAGGGGATATACCAAGAGCTGACCAAGCCCATCCAAACTGGGTATCAGTTTAGGTAAATAAGAGTAAGAGCACAAAGTCAGTAGAGGTCAGTCTGGGAGGATCACCTAGAGAAGCACAATACTGGAAAACATCTAGTGATGAAATGGCTCCTCTCTAGGGGAGAATACAGATGCCCACAGAATAGCCTGGCTTTCCCCAGTCTTGTGATAGCTGTCAAAGTGAAGAAGAACAAAGCAGGATGGAGAGCCAGAAGGAGACCTGAGGAAGCCACATGGAGCAGAGAACAAGTGATGAAGAAAGCGTGAGAACATGTGATGAAGAAAACGTGCTTGTTTCTTGGCCCTCGGCTGATTGAAACAATGTGGGTGAGAGATCCGTGTGGAGGTTGACTATGGCAGCTTTTATCTTAATTTTGACTTTGCTCTTTTCCTCCCAGGCTTGTCTGGCCATGTGTGACCCTTTTCTATGGGTCCCAGCCAGAAGGTGCTTTAGTCTTGTGACAGGTTTTCAGACCTTGCTTTGGACCAATTCCTTTTGGGAGGACTTTTGCCCATGAGGGGGGTAACTTCAGGTGTTTGATTTAGAAATTACACTCTTTGTCTTCTTTGTTGTATACTCACTGTATTAAATTTCCTTTCCATTAAAGCTCTTAATGTCTTGTCTTGATGCAGCGGATGGCAGAACCTATTTAGAGCAGGCAGGTTTGGGGTTTTTTTTTTAGGCTTCCTTCCCCAATCTTGTCAGGGTCATATTTAACATCATTAATCATGTTCTTTAGTCACATGTTTCATATTGAACATTGTCTCCAAAACCTCTGGTAGCTGAGAAAGTATCAGTGCTATCTCTGCTATGTCCTGTGTTTTATATTGAACCTTGTCCCAAAAATCATGATATAAAGTAAAAAGAAAACAAAGTTTGCAATCTAGACTAAAGATTGGATCTCTGCATGAAAAAAGGCTGAATTAGCTGTGTCATCTATGCTTTCTTGTCATCTTTTTATATTATATTGTTATTGTTCAAAATGGGATTTCTCTACTGAACTGTGACAAAAAGGAAATCACTTTGAATAAAGAAAACAATAATGTGTGAAAAGTAGCATATACTAAGTGCCAAAGATAACAGTGGTACAGGAATTTTGAGACTTAGAA